GTTCATCCAGCCCTGCACCTTGTTGTCTCGGATTCTCCAGCATCTGCAGTTCCTACTATGTCAGTATTGTTACTTGCTTCTGGAAAACCATTAAAAGCAAAGTTCAGTGGATATTATCAAAGCAAAAGTGAATTTAAATATGTGAACTGTGTATTGTGTGCATAAGACAGGAGAAAAAAATCTGAGTGTGTTGTATTCGTGTCTTAAACTGATACTCTGACAAGAAGTGTGTTTGTAGTCATTAAAGAAAGACAACTGACAAAAATGAGTGATTTGAGAATGAATGAAAAACGGAAAACTTTTCATCAGGGGTCTTTAATTAAGGGTCCTAACCCGAAATGTCAACTCTCCTGTTCCTCTGATGCTGCCTGACCTGTCATGTTCATCCAGCTCCACATTGTCTTGATTGAAAATTTTAAGGTCAATCCTCCAATAATCAAACTGGTTAACAGGACATTCTTGAAAGTTAGAATATATTGCCATCTCCCATAAACATAAAATGAAACTTAAAGCCATCGGAGACTCATGAATCAATTTGTGTAAATAGGCCAGGAAAATCATCTTTGGCAATACATTAGATTAATGTGTGATGATGTGTCACCCATAGGGTAATATCCTTACTGACTCAACGTAGAGAAATTTGCTCAAGTGAGAGAAGAGATCAAGTTCATGACGGAAAACATTAATGAACCAAGCAACTGTATTGTGATGGTAGTGAATCCAGAAGGATCACAATGACTATGAATAGATTATCACAAAATCAACACAGTTATGAAGGCAGAGTCATATCTGATTCAATGATTGGCCGACTGTCTGGATTAGCAAGTTCCATTGTCCAATTTGACAAAATAAATATCAGCTTTTGAAAACTCAAATGAACACTATCAATGGAACAACATGCTCTGTGGGAAGCTAGGGAAATGATTGCAGGACCCATTATTGAGATATTTACATCATTGATGGCCATTGGTGAGGTGCCATAGACTGGAGATTGGCAGACATGGTGCCACTATTTATGAAAGGTGGTGGTGGAGGGTTACTTTTCAGACTGGAGGCCTGTGACCAGTGGTGTGCCACAAGGATCGGTGCTGGGTCCACTGTTTTTTGTCATTTATGTAAATGATTTGGATGTGAACATAGGAGCTATAGTTAGTAAGTTTGCAGATGACACCAAAATTGGAGGTGTAGTAGGTGGCAAAGAAGGTTACCTCAGATTACAATGGGATCTTGATCAGATGGGCCAATGGGTCAAGAAGTGGCAAATGGAGTTTAATTTAGATAATTGTGAGGTGCTGCAATTTGGACAGGCAAATCAGGGCAGGACCTATACACTTATTGGTAAGGTCCTGAGGAGTGTTGCTCAACAAAAAGACTTTTGAGTGCAGGTTCATAGTTCCTTGAAAGTGGAGTTGTAGGTGGATAGGATAGTGAAGAAGCCATTTGGTATGCTTGCCTTTATTGGTCAGTGCACTGAGTATAGGAGTAGGGATTTCATGTTGTGACTGTACAGGTCATTGGTTAGGCCACTTTTGAAATACTACATTCAATTCTGTTCTCCCTGTATAGGAAGCATGTTGTGAAACTTGAAAGGATTCAGATAAGATTCACAAGGATGTTGCCAGGGCTGGAGAGTTTGAGCGATAGGGAGGGGCTGAATAGGCTGAGGCTATTTTCTCTGGAGCGTCAGAGGCTGAGGGGTGACCTTGTGGAGGTCATGAGGGGCATGGATGGGGTAAATAGACAATGTCTTTTCCCTAGGGTGGGGGAGTCCAAAACTAGAGGGTATAGGTTTAAGATGAGAGGGGAAAGGTTTAAAAGGGACCTAAACGGCAACTTTTTCATGCAGAGGATGATATGTGTATGGAATGAGCTGCCAGAGGAAGTGATGGAGGCTGGTACAATTTCAACATCTAAAAGGCATTTGGATGGTTATGTGAATATGAAGAGTTTAGAGGGATATTGGCCAAATAATGGCAAATGGGACTAGATTTATTTAGGATATCTTGTCAGCATGGATGAGTTGGACTGAAGGATCTGTTTCTGTGCTGTAAACTCTATGACTTTATGCTGAAAATTGCACCAGCAAATTTACAATGATTAATCAAGATGGTCTTTGAAGGAAAATGCATCTGTAATATATATAATGATGATTAGTTTGTGTTCAGCCACTGTGTTTGTGTTTGTGTATGAGAAACGATTACAACATTTGAAATAATTGTTTGATTAGTTACAAAGAACCAAATTGGTCATAAATTTGTCCAAAGTGATTTTCCTAAAGCAAATGTAACTTATTTGGACCACACTATGGGAGAAGCAAAAATAATGGTTATCTTGTTTTGTCTTTGACACTGGAAAATCCAAAAGATCTTGCAGAATATAGGCATGAGTGGATCTAGAAGAAATTTATTTTGAATTTCAGTCCTAAAATGGCTCCCTTGTCGAAGATTGTTAAAGAAAAGTGAAAAATCTAAACTGGCTGATGATTCCACCAATGGTGATGTGGGTGCAATTTTATTAAAGGAGAATGAGATGGGGAATCAATGACCATTCAGTTATTTTTTTCATGGAAATTCATTTCAAGCTGTCAGAAATATACAACTTTTGGAAAAGATACCTTGCATTTAACATTCACACTATGAAATTTGTAAAGTCAAGTAACTCCAATGACTCAATAAATTGTTATTTATTTAGGCCATAACCCTTTAATGTTTCTAGCAAGACATCATACCGAGAATGAGATTGTAGCATTAATATCCAATAAAACAATCAGACAATTTATGTATAAAACGAAGGGCTATAGACAGAAAGGAACTTTTCATTTTAATGGACAGGTTAAAGCCAAAAGATTTAGAAGATGGAAATAAGGAGAAACTTCTTCAGAGTGGTGAATCTATGGAATTCACTGCCACAGAAGGCTGTGGCGGCCAGGTCATTGAGTACATTTAAAGACTGAGATAGATAGGTTCTTGATTATCAAGGGTTACAGGGAGAAAGCGGGAGAATGGGCTTGAGGAACTTATCAGCCATGATTGAATGGCAGAACAGACATGATGGGCCAAATAGCCTAATTTCTGCTCCTATGTCTTATAGGGAATGTTTGGTGGGGGGGGAAGAAAGAAACCTTTTCCACCCAGAGGGTGGTGGGATTCTGGAACTCACTCCAGGAAGGTTGTTAGAGGCAGAAACCCTCATACTATTGTAGTATTTAGTAGTGCAAGCCTGACAGGGCTATGGGGCCAAGTGTTGGGAAATGAGATCAGAACAGTTTGGTGGTTGTTTTTGACCAGCATAAACTGGATGGACCATAAAAAGGTTTTTTTTTCTGCACCGTACATGTCTATGACTCTATTCATTTCTTTACTCCTGTCCTTTTCACCCCAGAAAGTTGCTCACAGTCCATTTGTGCCGTGGCCACAACTTTCTGAAGGTGGTAACACATGAAACCTTCTCTAGCTCAAAAGAAGCAAATCATAAATTTTAACGTTGTCACAGGCGAACGTTGTCATCAGTTGGTATATTCTGATAAAAAGGATTTATGGTCAGGAAATGTTAACTTCAGAATTAAAAAATGATTTCAAATGAATACCACTGACATTTAAATTAAATTAATTTTACTGGTTTTTTTATTCAGTTAAAGCCGACATTTTACAATATATTTTCACCTCCCAAATTTCGCGTTTTTTTTAAAGTTTAAGTAATTGCCGAAGCTGCAGTAAATAACAAGTTGTGACAGCTATATTCATCAGGCAGTCTCCTGCGCTTTAGCAGATGGTATTCAGATGTTGTTTGTTGCAGCCTATTTTACAGCAAATATCGGCGATTTTGTTCAGCTCATTGCGTCTGATTCGGGATGGACTTTGGAGAGCCTCCAATGTCGCTTCCAGTAGACTTGGCTTGTTGCTCAAATTCTCTTCGTCGGACAATGTCAATTTCTCCGAGGAATCCGAATTAGCCATAAACGAAGACTTCGTATCCTCTCCTGTGGATTCAAGTCAGGAAAAGCATTACCGACTAAACTCTGCAGAAGTACAGACTGGATAAAAAAAAACAACTCAAAACGCTTGCGAAACTTCTGTAGTATGGGTGATGAACTATAATTATCTTAGCTACAAAATACAAAATCCACACAATATCTACAAAAAAACTTTCTAAATGATGCATATTGATTTAGGTCCGGTCTCAAACTCACGAATATTTGTTCTAATCTTTCAAAGACGAAGTTGTTCATCACGTTATGTAATTTTTGAGCAAGATGATTTATAACATGCAAATATTCAAACGGAAAAAGTTAAATTAAAGCACAACATTGATCAGGAAATATCTATTATACACTTTTTTTAAAAAAAGAAAGAAAGAAGAGCTAATAGAAGATTGTGTGTCTTGGACTGAGAATTGGCTCTTACCGAGCAAAGCTCTGAGCACTGCCGCGGATCCGAACCCTCTCCTCCAGCGAGAAGCCCCGCAGTGGTGGATGAGGGCTCGGTGAAAATCGTTGCCGCAGAGCCGAATCAGGTTCTGTGTGCAAACCCCAGACATGGTGAACACCACCAGCAGGCCCAACGCCGCCAGTAGCACGGACCGCATGTTTTCCCGCTGGGTTACTCAGGCACTTTCCAAATAATCAGCCGCTCTGTGCTGCGTGTGAAACAGCCCTCACTTCAAGCTCCCGTTGCCCAAGGTCGAGCAGTTTATAGCTGGTTGTTCACTCGTCACTCCTTATATTCCAATCAGCCACAGAGCCGATCACCCATTACGGTTCCCTTAATGTGTTAATGAGGCACTTCGAAAGGCGCCAGCAGAATTTCGAAGTTTATCAATTCTGTAAATCATAGGAGGAATGGGGAAAGGAGATTGTAACAGGCAGCTAGCATTACTCAGAGGGCTGGGTGAGGTGTGGTACCCTGCAACATGCAACCAAAATCTCTGAGGAGTGGATGGAGGAGGGTCACTGGATCTGAAACATTAATTCTGATTTTTAGAATAAAGTATATTTTTGCTCTGTGCTGTATGGTCTGATGCCAGGGATGTACACCGACACAAGTGTTGACTGGACCTGGAGGACCATCAACTCAGTGAAAGATGTTCTTTTGTCTGCCTGAAGCTTGTTGGTCTTCTAGAACAATGAGTTGAATCCAACCGAGTATTGCAGACTGGCACATTCCAAGGTCCAGGACTAGGTGCTGAGGGACGCAATAAAGCTTGGGACAGCTACTGCCAAGGCAAGTGGAGAAAGACCACTGTCTAAGGTCTGAGTTAAAGGGGGTCAGTTCAGTTATCGGACCCTCTTTGTGCCTCAAATGCATGTAAATATTATCGTGTTCAAGTAAGAGATGCCTTTGGTTTGTTTGTTGGGTGAAGTCAAATTTCAATAGTTGTTACCTTGATATACTACTATACAGAACTGAACTGCATTAGTAACTACATATATATTATATAAAGATACTTTTTTTGAATAAAGTATATCTTTGAAATTAAAAAAGTTAACTCTGATTTCTCTCCACAGATGCTGCCAGACCTGAAGAGCTTTTTCAGCAACTTGTTTTGTTTCCAATCTTTGCTTGTTTCTTCAAATGCTACTGTACAAAATTGAGCTGCTTTTGTGACTATGTATGTATATATATATTATGAATAAAGTTTATTTTTGAAATAAAAATGTTTATTTATTCTAAGGGTGACAACTAGTTTTCAAAGTTACTGGACTGCAAGTCAGCATGAACAAGCGGAGTGGAGATGCTTGGGTATGCGTGTAGTCTGGACACAACAGATGCCTCAAATATACACATCTGCAAGACTTATTCTTGATTTCACAAGGTTTAACTCCGGTTTTAAGAACTTGATTATCAGGTGGAGCTTCTGTCGTGCATTGACCAGGCAGAGAACTATACGGATTGCACATACAGGGAGGTGGTCATACTCCAGATTAAAAGCATAGAGGCAGAGCGGAAATAGGTGACCACCAAACAGTCTAAGAAAGCCAGGCAAGTAGTGCAGGAGCCCCTTGATTCTATCAAGGTTGACAATTGGTATTCCATTATATAAACTACTGATGGTTTCTCAGGGGAATGTAGCCAGAGACAAGTCCATGGCACCAAGGGTGTCTCAGCTGTGTGGGAGTGGAGACGTGATTCCAAGATGGTGGGTTGCCTCCCTGGTGCCAAGGTCAAGGAGGTTACACAGCAGCTGCAGAACACCCTTCTAGGGGAGGGACATCAACCAAGGTACCAATGACGTAGAAAGGAAGAGAGATGACAGCCTGAAAGCAGAGTTCACGGAGTCAGGAAGGAAATTAAAAAGTAGGACCTCAAAATTACTCCCAGTGCCATGTAGTAGTGAACGTAACAACAGGAGGATCAATTTTTAAATATGTGGCTTGGAGAACTGATGTAGGAGGGAGGATTTTGGATTTCTGAGGCATTGGGAATAGTTCTGATGGAGGTGGAATCTGTACAAGCTGGATGGGTTACACTTTAACAGGGCTCATATGCAGTCGATTTGCAGGGAGATTTGCTAGTCTATTAGAGTTAAGTTAAACTACCTTGTCAGAGAAGGTGACAATCTAAGGGGAAACCCAAATTGGAAGCATTGTAAACTGGTACCAGGAAGTAGAAAAGCTGCTAGGAGGACTAGAAGACAGGAGAAACAAAGCTGAGTCTTGAGTCTGCCTTGAAAGTGGAATGATTTCAAAAAGACAAAGTTGAAGGCATTTGACCTGAATTCGTGCAGCATTCATATCCACATAGATAATCTAGAAGCATAAAGAGGTAAATGGTTATGATCTAATTGGCATTTCAGAAACATGGCTGCATAATGACCAACACTGGGAACTGAATACTCAAGGATGTACAAGTTTAAGAAGGACAGACAAGAAGGAAAAGAAGGTAGAATTGTGCTGATCTCACAAAATGGGATCAGTATATTCCTAAGGGAGGATCTCAGATCAATGTGTGGAATATGGGTGGAATTCAGAAGCAGCAAGGAGCAGCAGACGTTGGTTGGAGTTGTTATAAGTCACCAAATAGTACTGAGTACAGAGGGAATGGTATAAATCAGAAGATGAGAGAAGCTTGTAGCATGTGCAACATGATAATCACGGCTGTCTTCAATCTGCATGTAGACTGGGTAAAGCAATTTAATATAATTCTTTGGAATGTCTTCAGGATAATTTTCTAGAATAGCATGTTCAAAAACTGACTAGAGGACAGCCTAGTTTTGATCTAGTATTATTAATTAATTAATAATCTTGTGTAAAGAAACTTTAAGGATAAGTGACCACAATATGATTGAATTTTACCTCATATTTGAATTTCAGGTAACTCAATCTGGAGCAAGGCCACTAAATTTGAATAAGGGAAATTATGAAAGCATGAGACACAACTTGTCCAAGCTGGATTGGGAAAGTATATAAAAAGGCATGACTGTACGTGGGCAATGGACAGTTTTTAAAGAATTGTACATTCTATTAAAGTGCAAAACTTTAAAAATTTCAGTAAACTTCACTGACAAAGGAAATTGAGGGTTGTATAAGATTAAAACAAAAGGCTTAAAAAGTGGTGAGAAGCAGTAATAAATCTGAGGATTAAGTTTCTTTTTAGAATACAGCAAAGGAGTACCAAGAAACTGATAAGGAAAGAATAGAATACAAACACAATTTAGCAAAAGACAAAAAAAAACTGTAAAAACCTCTACAGGTAAGTTAAAAGAAGATATTTGCCTGATCTGAATGTGAGTCCATTAAAAGAAGAGTCAGAAGAATCTATGATGGGAAATAGAGAAATGACAGAGAAACTAAATGATTACTTTGTGTCTGTTTTCACTGAGGAGATCCTAAAAGAGGTAGCTACAGAGATAGAGAATGCATTGGTTGAATTTTTTTATTAATTCTTGGATTCTGGAGAAGTATGGAGGATTGGAAAACTGGCAATGTGACACCCCTATTCAAGAAGTGAGTGAGGCAAAAAGCAGGTAACTATAAGCCAATTAGCCTAACATCTAAAGAAATTGCTGGAGAAACTCAGCAGGCCTGGCAGCATTTGTGGATAGAGATACAGAGTTAATGTTTCAAGTCTGGTGATTTTTAATCAGAAGAGTATCTACTGAAGAGATCCTAATCTGTTCTGATGAAGAGTAACTGTTTTGTTCTCAGTGGATGCTGCAAGTCCTGCTGAGTTTTTCCAGCAATTTCTGTTTTTATTTCAGATCTCCAGTATCTGCAGTTCTTTGTTTTATTTTAGCCTAACATCTATTACAGGTAAAGTACTGGAATCAATTACTAAGGGAACAATAGCAGGACATTTGAAAAATCATAATCTAATCAAGCTGAGCTAGCATAGCTCCATGAAAGGGAAATTGTGTCTAATTGATTATATTTTTTGGGGAAGTGTCAACCAGAGTGGATGGAAGAAAACCAGTAGGTGTGTTGTATTTGGACTTTCAGAAGGCATTCAACAAGGTACTGCATAAAAGGTTCAGTCATAAGATAAGAGCCCATAGAATTGGAAGTAGTTTAGTGGCATGGATAGAGCATTGGCTAATGGGCAACTGGAAATAAGGGGTTCTTTTTTAGGCTGGTGACCTGTGAACAGTGAGTTTCACAGGGATCAATGCTGGGAGTGCAAGTGTTTACAATATGTGGTGATGACTTAAAGGAAATAAGTGTAAGTAATGTAGCCAAATTTGCAGATGACTTAAAATAAGTGGAAAACTAGGTTGTGAAAGGAGTACCAACAGGTTGCAGAGAACTATGGGTCACCGGACCCGAAACGTTAACTCTGTTTTCTCCTTCACAGATGCTGCCAGACCTGCTGAGCTTTTCCAGCAACTTTGTTTTTGTACAGAGAACTATTGTCAGGTTATGTAAGTGGCCAAAAAGATGGCAAATGAAGTATAATGTGGAAAAATGTTCATTTTGGAAGGGAGAACAAAATAGCATTATTATTTAAATGAAGAAAAACTATAGAAAGCTACAACATAAAGGGATTTGGGATTACTTGTGTACTAAACACAGAAAGCTAACATAATGGTGCGGCAAGTAAGCAGGAAGGCAAATAGAATGTTGGCCCTTATCTCAAGGGGATTAGAGTATTAGAATGGGGAAATCTTACTGCAGTTGTACAAAGTGCTGGTGAAAGCACACCTGGAGTATTGTGAACAGTTTTTGTCCCATTATTTAAGAAAATACATTATTTCATTGGAGGCAGTTCGGTGAAAGTTCACGAGGATTGTCTTATGAGTAAAGGCTAAACTGGTTGGGACTCAACTCATTGGAATATATTATAATGAGAGATGATCTGATTGAAAAACACTGGATTCTTAAAGGAACTTGACAGAATAAATGCTGAGTGGATGCTTCTCTTTATGGGAGAGTCTAGACCAGAAGGCATAGTCTCAGAATAAAGGCTGTCAATTTATGACTGAAATGAGGATTTTTTTTTCTCTCAGAGGGTTGTGAGTCTTTGAAACTCCTTGCCGCAGAGAGTTGTGGGGGCAGAGTCATTGTGTTTGTTTAAGGCTGAGATAGGTTCTTGATCAGTAAGGAAATCAAGGTTAAGGGGAAAAGGCAGGAAAGCAGATGTGAGGAATGTTGGATCAGCCATGATCCTATTGAATGGCAAAGCAGGCTCAAGGAGCTAAATGGCCTACTCATGTTCCTCTTTCTTATGATCTTCTTAACTACCAGAAATCTCCCATAATTAGAGATTTAAGGGACAATGGAGAATGAGGAGTTGAAGGACATTCTTATAAGTAAGAAGGTTGTACTGGAAAGTAAATAGATCTAAAAATTGATAAGTGTCCAAGACCTGAT